CGGCTCAGAGAAGCCCGCCCGCCCGCCCGTCTGTCTTGTCCCGCCAGCCCTGGCGTCCCGCCTGCGCGTCCGTCGTCGTCTGCTCGTGCTGGCTCTCTCGCTCCCCCACCGGGCAGCACGGACTGCCTCGGAGAGACGGCCCGGGAGGTCCCAGGGGGCCACCAAGACGGCTCGAGAGGGATCTCGACGCGGCCCCTGAACGACTGCGAGACGCCCCAAGACGCGCACCCTGAGCCCCCAACGGGTTGGTGGATGCGGCGGCAGCCAATGAATCCAACGCGGGGTTGCCCTTCATGTAGAAATCGAACTCGCGCGCGTTGAGCTCTCCCATTTCATTGTCGAGGATCATCGTCGTCATCTGTAAGCTGAAGAGTAGCTTGTGCTTCTCAAATATTCCCAAGCAGGTGTAGTCGTACATCGTTTGGGTCATCTTGTCGCGGATGTTCTTGAGGCGGTTATCGACGATCTTGTCGGGCTTCGCCTCCTGCAGCGCAGTGGTGAAGACGCCCAAATAGCTGCCCAGCGAGTACTCATACATCTCGCTGATGGCCGCCAGCCCAGACATTGCAAAGTAGAGGATGGAGCCGCGCTTCGCCACCTTCTGGTACAGCTCCCTGTTCTTGTCGATCTCCATGGACGTGTTCTTGGCCGTCTCCAGGGCCTCGCCGATCTCGATAGACTTCGTCTTCGCGTTGCGCAGCGTCTGGATGAGCTCGTCGTTGTCCAGGATGCTGCCCTTGGAGGCCGCGAGCTCGCGCAGGAGGGTGTCCTCAAGGGACTGCCTCACCTGCCGATTCTCAGACATCTGCTGCACAGTGCTCTGCCTCAGCTCCTCCAGGTCCGGCCGCTCGAAGCCCACGACGACGTTCAGGAGCTGCGCCGCGAGACCGTCGAGGGTGATGACGCAGTTCACGATGGAAGCCTTGCCCATTACCTCGGGGGAGCGGAGACAAACTGCATACGTACATCGACCCCGCCTCCCTGGCAAGAAGCAGAGACCCGGGGGGTAGGGGGAGAGAGGGAGCTGGGGGGGGGGGGAGGCATGCGAGAGGTGAGGGTGGGGGGTAGGGGAGGGTGTACACGCTTTCGTGTCCCCAGCCTCGGGAGTGTACTTGGGGTTGCTCAGCTTCGTGGTCATCATCAGCACGAAACTCTCGTTCCACTCGATCTGGTTGTCGCCGAGGGTGATGACTTTCTGCCCATTCAAGAGCACGAACCGCTTCTCCAGGATGGGGTCGATCATGGGATCCAGCTCCTCGTCCAGGTTCTCGAAGAGGAAGGTCTTGCCGTACTGGATCGCCAGCTCCAAGAACTTTGTGAACTCGTCGTTGAACGTCTTCACGATGAGCCCGCTCTTCTCCTCCTTGCGCTTGATCCACTGCACGATCTGCATCTGCGGGTCGACGCAGAGAGGCCAGCGGGCGGACTGCGTGACGAGGATGCCGTTCTGCACGCAGAGCTCGTCGCTGGGCAGCCCGTGGCCGGACCACGCTGCGATCTCCACGTCCGAGGTGAGCAGCGTCTCGAGCCTGAAATCTTCGGTCTGCTGGATCTGCTTCTGCGCGACCTCCGCCAGCCAGTTCTTGTACACCATCTCCGTCCTGAACTCGTGGTTGAAGGGCCCCGCGTAGCTGACGAACGCGGCGCACAGGAGGCAGTCACCCACCAGACGCTCCATCACCTGCGACATCACCTTCAGGTCCTGGGTCCAGCGTATCCTCTCGGAGCCCAGGCCTTGGGGCAGCCAAATCACACGGATGTGAGCTTCGCCCAAGCCTGGGAGTGGGGGAAGAACTGAGGACCCAGGTCAGGAACGCGCCCCAACTCCATACGGCGGATTGACCCGGAGCAAACTGGTTAGAGAGCAAGGCCCAGGCACGTGCAGGGAGTTAGCGCTACGATCACGGATGGCTAGAAAGGGAGCCTGAGATAGATGAGTAGGGGAGGAGGAGGAGGACGAGGACCAGCGAAAACCCTGTATTGATCAACGATGTTAGAATAAATCTTCCCTCCAAGCTCCCTCTTCATAGGCCCCTGCAAGGATTCATTTCCTCTGAAGTACGCGCCCAGTTGGGAGACAATCGCTTGAAGATCCTGAAGCGTACCAAAACACCATTCTCGGGACTCAAACCCCACGAATCAACCCGACTGTTGCGTCTTGACGACTGGGACTTCAACACAACGAATAAACGTAACTGGTGAGCCCTGGTAATCCTGCGCCGATCCAAAACACAGTTGCTGATACGTTGACCATGGGAATCCATAAGACTCTTGTAAATGTTTAAGACGCGTGTGCGCGGAGCTAAGGCGAGAATAATATGTTGAAAAGGAATCACCCTCAACCCGTGAAACTCTTGAGCCCATTTTCTATCGAAAAACAAATGTGCGCGGCGCTAAAGGGAAGAAACCACATTTTGAAAACCACCCGCCCTCAAGCCGTAGACCTCTTTCAGTTGTTTACGATGAGTGTGCGCGGCGCTGAGGCGACAGCCGCCTTTTGAAAACGACCCGCCCTTAAATTCAGTTGTTATGCGCGGCACTGCGGCGAGAGCCGCATTTTGGAGGCGACCCGCCCTCCATCTGTGAAGCTGAAGCTGTTGCCAACGTTTAAATTTAAGTTTCAAGGCCATCAAAGATGAGGAGACATAAAGCCAAACGCCCCGCCCGCCCTTCCGACTGGCCGCCTCGGGGTGTGACAGGGAAGCGTGCTTTCTAGGGAACGGGAATGGAGGAGACTCGCTATCACTGCTGCTTCCGCCGCCCCCACGGCCGTCGATGAGCTGAGATGCGGAGTTCAGCCGCCGCGTCATCAGCTCCGCCTCCTCCTTGAGCCCCTTGAGTGTGGCGCTCTTCTCCTGCTCGTCGGCCGTGAGTTCCCCAAGCTTCTGGCCCAGGTCCGCGAGCTCCTTGTTGATCCGCTTGAGGTTCTCCGCAGCCTCCTCCTTCTGCGCCTCGAGCTCCTGCACCCGCTTGCGCTTCGGCTCCACCCCCTTGGCCACCTCGTAGTAGGCGACCATGGCCTTGACCCACTGGAGCAGGCCGAAACCTGCCTTGGAGACGCCCTTCATCTTGTCGCCCTCGAAGACCTCCTTCTCCTTGTTCAGGAGCTTCCTGATCTGCAGAACCTGCCTCTCCTTCATCTCGTCCTTCTTGTACTCCTGCAGGGCCTTCAGCAGAGACGCGTCCGACAGCATCACCTTGGCGCCCGCCCAGCCGGCCTCGCCATCCTCCTTGCCCAACGGCCTCAGAATGCACACGCACATGCAAACGATCATCACTGGCGGCGGCGGCGTGGCCATGACCTTGATCTCCGACAAATCCTTCTTGTCCAAGTTCTCCAGCGCCTCGGCGGCGGCCGCCAGAGCCGGCATCGCCAGGGTCAGGGCCGCGTCGGCTTCGGCCTTCTCCGCCGCGATCACGACGGAGTCCTTCGAGATCTGCTCTGAAGCGGCATTGGCCTCCTCCTGGCGCTTGGTGACGATGATCGTGCTGTCGTTGATTGTATGGATGAGCTGGCTGACCTTCTCCGCATTCTCGTCCACAATGACCTTCTTCGTCTCCAGCTCCTTGGACATCTCGGTGACCTGCTCGGCAGCCTGCACCAGCTTCAAGAGACCTCCTTCCAGGCGTCCAGACATGGTGTCAAGGTTCTTGCGGTTGTTCTCCAAAAACTTCGTGTAGTTCGCCAGGAAGTCCAAGAAGTTTTTCGGCGTTGCGAAGTTGCGGCGCTTGTACTTGGCCTCGAAGTCTGGCGAAAACGTGGTCGTGACCGACAGGTGCACGTAGCTCATGGTCTGGTTGATGCCGACCTTGTTCTCCTCCGGCAGCTGCACGTTGGCCAGAACATGCTCCGCGACGGCGAGCAGCGCTTGGTCTGGCCAGGAGAAGAACCAGTCGATGGTGCAGCCCGCCACGAGGCCGGGGAAGTTGCGGCAGCGGGCGCGGAGCTGGCTGCCGGCCGGCGACATGGCCAGCACCAGGTGCAGGTTGTCGCGCAGGCAGCCGCAGGCGAACGCCCACATCTGCGACTCCTGGATGCCCTCGGCCTTCGCCCTGGCACGCACGGCGGAGACAAGAGGCTCCTTCTCGTCGTCGGGGAAGAGCGCTGGCACCATGCCCACGGTCAGGATGTTGTTGATGTACTCCAGGAAGCCCTCCTGCACCACGTGCGCGTCGGTAAACAAGAAGCTCACTGGCTTCTTGATGGCCGTGGAGTACATCAGCTTCAGGTCATCTCTGAACGCATCGTCGCCGTAGCCGCGGGACAAGGTGATCTCGAACTTCTCGTAGCCGGCGGTGAACGTGGCGAGCTTCGTGAGAGACTGCTTGCCGCTTCCACCGATTCCGATCAGGAGCGCCATGCCGCGGGTCATGCGGATGATGCGGTGGAGGCGCATGCAATGGGACAGGGCGTCGTTGAAGAGCACCAGGTTCATCGGAGTGTTGTCCCCGTTGTACAGCTCCAGGACGCCGTCGAGAATCGGGCGGACGCTCTCCCAGCTGCCAAGGTCCTCGTACGTCCGCGGGTCCTCGAACGGCTTCTCGCTCTTGACCAGTATGTCGAGCACGTCGCGGAAGTCGCCAAAGACGAGCGGGTCGGCCAGGGCCACGTCGGCGCTCTTCGAGAACTCCTGCTTGATGAGGCGCTCCAGCTGCCCCTCGGACAGGAAGCGCTTGTCCGCGTCGTCGGTGAAGCGGTCCTCGTACACGCGCGAGCACTCGTTCCTCCAGAGGCGCACCAGGACGGGGGCGCTGCTCACGGCCTGAGGATCGGCCTGGCAGATGCCCTGGAAGACGCGAGACAGGTCGCGCAGGCTGAAGATGTAGTGGAACTTCGTCGGGGTGGGCGGCAGGTTGTCGATCACGGCCTGGTGCAGCTGCATGGTCACCTGCGGCAGCTGCATGACGCACTCCTGCACCATCGTGTCGAAGCCCATGAAGCTGTTCTTGAGGATACTGGCATAGATCCTCTCGACCGTCTCCAGGCTGGGGGAGGTGATGCCCATGCAGGCGTAGAGGCTCACCACGCGAGGGTCGATCGGGTTGCGCCCAGCGCCTGGTGGCTGCATTGCCGAGATGTACTGGCAGTCTTGGATAATGAGCTTGTCCAGGTCCCCGCCGCGCTCGTACATGAACGACCGTTCCACCAAGAACTTCAGGAGCGCCAAAGGCTGCTGCGTGCCGTACGTGTCGATCTTGGGCATCGCAAGGTCGTCGATGAAGACGCGCAACTTCTTGCCCTGCTCGGGCCCGTAGTTGCGGCCCGTCCGCTTCGTGACGTTGTCCTCGGGAACGGCCAAGAGGGGGGGTGTCCAAGAGGGGGGGGGGGTGCAAATCATGACCAGCGGCATGTGCGCGGCCCAGCGGGGGGGCCAGGGACGTAACAAAATAAGAACAGGCGCCATAACATCTGGGGAAATATCATGGCCCCCGCCATGGTACCGAAGCCCGCCCTAGTCATCACCCCCCTCTTTGCCGCCCCCGATGTCCTCCATGGTGCGCTGGAAGTCCTTGCTGCTCGTGCGCGAGGAGAAGTTGATGTTGAGGATGGTCGATTCCTCCAGGGGGAAGCCCTCCAATGTGTTCTGCAGCGTCACGCTCTTCGCCGTGCCGCTCTCCCCGACGAAGAGCACGGGCTGGCTGGTGGACAGAAACTTCCGCACGAGCCACGAGTAGCGGGTGGTGTCCATGGTGGGCACGAAGATCTTGTTGAAGTCGAGGCCGGGGGGCGGGTTGAACTCCTGTGCGGGAAGGGGGGCTGCGACAGGAGGGCGTCGCGTCGCAGCCTGCGGGGCGCAGCTTGATCTGCGCAGCACGACATCGGTCGCGCTGCAGTGTGGACGTCAGCACTGGGGAGGGGGAGGAGGGAGGGGGGAAGATCGGCAGCAGGGCTGAGCTCCTGTATCTGGCCCTCCCAGGGTGCCCAGCGGCCCACCTCCATGTCGAAGTGCGACTCGAAGAGCGCCTGGCTCGAGGGGCGGCATCCCGCGGGCATGATGATGATGGTGATGATGATGATGATGATGATGATGATGGTGATGATGGTGGTGATGATGATGATGTGAGGGTGTGATGGTGACGATATGATGACGACGATGGCAATGACGATACTGGTGATGCTGATGGTGATGGTGATGGTGGTGGTGGTGATGGTGATGGTGGTGATGATGATCGCGACTATGATGACGATGATTATGATGCTGATGATGTTGATGGTAGTGATGCTGATGATGAGGGTGATGATGACTGAGGATGCTAATGGCAATGATGGTGGTAATGGTGATGGTGATGGACATGCGAATGATGATGGATAATAATCGTGATGATGGTAATAGGGATAAGAATGTTGATGATACAAGTGTTGGCAATAATACCGTTAATCGCACGTGTAAGAGCAACAATACTAACAGCACGAATAATGATCATGCTGCTAATATGAGCAACAACAATTCTATTACTACCACTACAACTACTACACGTCGTCCATTTCTAATCATGCTTACTTCTAATCCCACCAGCCCTCTGGGCGTCGGTGGTTTAACGAGTTTCCTCTTCCACCCCTCCCTCTTCCCCTTCGGGGAGGGGTTTACCCCTCCCCCTACCCCCTCCCCACTGACCTGGACAGGGGGTTCCGCGGCGCGTTGGAGCGCCCAAGATGGCCCAAGACGGCTCCAAGAGGGCCTCAGGGAGCCCAAGATACCCTCCAAGATGGCTCAAGATAGCGCAAGATGCCTCAAGATGGTCCCCATGATGTTCCAAGACGTTCCAAGAACTCTCCAAGACGGTTCCAAGTGCCCACAAGAGCATCATTCGGATGCATCCAAGAGGCCAAAATGCTTCAAAACCCTAGGGACAATCAACGTTTTTGGTGTTCTCACTTTTTCGCTTGCGATGCACATCCGAGGCGTCAAGATGGCTCCAAGATGGCTCAAGATAGCTCCAAGAAGGGCCCAAGAAAGCCCCATGACGGCGCCAAGAGCGCCGAAGAGCGCTCCAAGAGCGGTCCCAGAGCGGTACAGGAGACGATTTTTGGAGTTCCTGGGGGGGGGCTCTAATTAAGGAACCCTACTTCCTTGACCGATGTCCTCCACGATGGCCGCAAGAGGCCCCCAGGATGCCCCAAGAGGCCGCAGGATGGCCCCAAGATGGCCCCAAGAGGCCCCCCAACAAGAGGCCCCCAGGAGCCCCCCAAGAGACCCCCAAGAGGCCCCAAGAGACCCCCCAGAGGCACCCAAGGGGCAAAGATGGCCCCAAGAAGCGCCCAGGAGGCCCCCAAAGGCCCCAAGATGGCCCCAAGAGGCCCCAAGAGGCCCCCAGGAGGCCCCAAAGAGGATCCCGAACGGCCCACAGAGGCCCCCCCGAGGCACCCAAGACGCCGAAAAGCCCCTCAGGACGACCCTCTACTCGCCTGGGCGTCGTTTCTGGACGGGCTGGTGGGGATACGCGGAGCGTCTAGAATTGTGCTAGTTTCTAATTGTTCCTGGCCCCCTAATGGCCAGG